TTGGCAAATCGCCTTTTTCAGAGCCTAGGTGGCAATACGATTTGCAACCTATTCGACCAAATTACTCTTTGTGCAAGATCAAAATCGCCTTTTGTTAGTGCCGATATTGACTTTATTGCAGTGATAATGATATCGTCATCCTCTTTCCCAACGGACATTATCTCAAAACCCACAAATGCCTCGGATACATCCATAATACTTCTTCACATCATTTATCTCTCAACGCGACGGCACAAATCAGAAAATGATACTAGCAGTACGACATAAGTAGCAAATATATTTAAACGTAAAAGGTGCCGGCAGGCCGACAGTCGCTGGTACCCCAACGCTCGTGGATTGTCCTCCAGCTGGCTCCCTTTCTTTATGGTGTGATCTCAAAGTGGTACGATCTGTAAGCATAGATCATGATATAACAGTATTCTCACAATAAATTACAGTATAGAGAATGTGAAGAATTAGTACGTGCAAAAACCAATGTGAGGTTCAAGGCGACACCGTATCACATTCAGTTATAATTATATACACTACACAGTAGCAACTACTGTTTTTGAACGATCATCCTCATCAGTGCAGCCATAGAATGCTGGTCATAATAGGCGGTGCAAAGATTAGAGAGTCTGGCTTATACCACAGTAAGCCGTCATAAAGATAACCCATGCAGTGCGGGCTTAAACAAGCTGCAGGATGCTGTGATAAGACAGGAGTCAAAGAGAAGACGATGAAACTGGTACAATTTTCATAATGTAATATCATCAAACAGCAGTAATATATTGATAGTATGCTGAAGCCAATGCTACAGGAGGAATCTCAGATTCCCACTGATACTATCATTGATTGAAGTTGGACCATTTAAGCGGCTGAGGGGTGGGTCGTACGATCCTGTCACATAACAACGTGCCGCCATCAGTTTGATCTTAGTTCAGCCGCTCTTGCTTGAGCATGTCGTCCGCTCCAACATCAGATCATAGATGAAAAACATGCGTGCATTTGCTCCTATCCTTCGTATACAGCTGCGATATACAGATGAGCCTAGATCAACAAGCTCAATTTTAGCATATTAACACTGAAATAATGAAGTGTTTGCAGGTTGGTCAGTTTGCTGAGCAGTTTGATGTAAGCGAAGATGAACTGATTTCGGACGACCCACGCTTCAGCTTCATTGAAGCTGAAATAACTAATTGGAATTACAGGAAAAAGGTTCCAGTTAGTGTTTTTTTAGGCTGTGTTGGTAATGTATATTATCAGGAGTTATTTCTGCACAATCGCACAGAACCTCTGAAATACGATCGACTTTGCATTGCCACTGGAGCTCACCCTATCTCACCTTTTCCGAACGAGAAAGTGAACTGTTGCATTTAACTAATTTATCTTCGTGTTTGAGATAGACGTTTTAGGTCCTCACTATAAGGGATACAGAATCTGCGGAGGAGCTCCAGCATCGCCTCAAGCACGCTAAACATGTTGCTGTTGTTGGGAACGGCGGCATTGCTACTGAGGTTGTGTAAGTAGCAAATTATGATTACTCAATCTTATGAAGGAATTTAATAGAGTTAGTTTAGATTTGAGATGAGAGGGGTCGCGATAACGTGGATTATTCGCGATGACTCTATATCCTCCGTTTTCTTCAGTCCCAAATTCACGGAATTCTTTAAGAAAAGGGTGGAAGAGGGACGTCTTGCTGGTTCGTAGCTTATCTTGTCGTGGCTTCATTGAAATAGCTGGCAAAACCGACTACGCTAGGCATCAATTGTGGAACCTGAAAGAGATTTTTCTATTTGTAAAATGCAATTAAAGTAAGAGGCTGCTAGTAATTCCACATTGAAATCCTTTTATTGTGCATTCGCTTTCTTCGCTGCCAACAGAAGAACTAATCCGCGTAATTATCTTGCTTTTCTTCGCGTCGATGTTGAGCTAGC